TACAGTTTCGGAACCCCGATGTGGCCCTCAGGCCAAAAAGTTTGCCCACCCCTGTTCTAGCTGTATCCAATTTAGATCTAAGAACCAAAACCTGAGGTTTAATGAAAAGGTGACAATCAGTGTGGCCTGTTCCATCACAACCTTCTTTAAGCTCAATGGCTGAGGAGGGGAAAGGCATAAAGGAAGCCTTTTAGACCTTTTTTGAGATAAGGGGACCATAATCTCTGCTTTTGAGTCTCATTTCCTCACACTTTTTTAGTTTTCCAACTGAAGTTGAATGCAGAGAGGTTAATCAACAGGTTTCCAACCAGGCTTGTGATGAACTCAAAGTCTAGCTGGTCTAAAAACTGTAAGCACCCATGAAATTAAACCCTTATTCATGCTTAATGCTGGAAGCTTGGCTGAAGATCTGAGGTATCTTGCTCAAAGCCCCAGCTTTAGTTATTTCTCCTTCTCTTTAGAGGATCTAGAGAGGAGACTTTCATGAGAGGTTTTAAGACTTTCTGCTGCCCTTTTAAGTGCAGACTGTGACCAATATCATGCACCAGTCCCTGGGCCAAACCCCTGAGAGTCCCTGAGGGGAAACAGTATATTTCCAGGCAGACTGAAAGGACAGTCTGCAAACTTGTAACCTGCATTATCTCCCAGAAAATAATAGTAGCTACTTTATGGACCCCTATGGGGCCCCTGGAAGGAAGGAGGAAGTAGGCCCATCTCCCAGACAAGGGGATCTGAATCACTTCACCAATGCTGCCTGCTACTGGGTATGGGCTGAGTGGAGCCAACTGCACAGAACGAGGAGTGAGCCAGAACCACTGAGGACAAATGAGTCTCTGGTATCAAAAAGGTCACAGGAGCCCATACCTTTCATGGCATCTGAGGCCTTGCACCTGAAACACCTTGTGGGAAGGGGGGAAGTTTTGTGGCCTTCTCAACCACCTCAGCATAGTCCATGTATATGTCCTAGATGGGAGAAGGAATTTTTTTCTCCTGGTTACTATGGGAGGGGACCTTGCCAATTCCCTTGAGATTGAGAAGGCTCCAGTGAAACTCTTCTGCTTACTTTGCCAGATATGCAAATGGCATCCCATGCTTAGGGGAGAGGCAGGGAAAAGGAAAAGAAAATCACTTTACCCTACTTTCATGCCACTGATTCTGGCTCGGGCTCAGTGAAGGGAGTTTCCAAGCAGTCTGCCCACCCATCCCAAGGGTGGACCTTATCCCCTCACTACCTGGAAACAGAATTTCTGGGGCTTGCTGTCTGTCACTTCTCAGAGAGTGCGACATTCACCCTCCTCACAGAAGAATTTTTTGTTTTAAGTTCAGCAGTTTTGAGGAGGAAAACCCCAAAGCCAGTGAAGAAACAGACATTTAATTAAAAATCATTCAAAGATCCTGCGAAATTTCAGCTTCAATGGAAGCCCTGGAGTCTGCCACGTATGCCACTTGGAGGCAGATAATTCTGGGAGTGGTTCCTGAGTGGCAATCCTAAACCCAGGTTTAGAACAGAGATCTGTTCTTTCTCCCGTTGCCATGGAGACCCGGAATACCCCACTGTTTTGTGGCCTCCATGTCCAACATGGAGGAGACTGAAAATCAAATACTAACCTCCCTCAGCTCTGAATAAAGAGAGACAGCTGCCATGTCAACACTAATTCTTTAAATTGTTTAATCTAGTGAATTGTTCTGAATACAGATTAACTTTTATTAACCTTTGAAAATTGAATTTGCATGAGCTCTGATGAACTGATGGAAGGTTGTTTGGTTTCCCTATAGATTCTTTAAGTGCCCTAGTTTCCTCTACTGAAATGCTGGTTTGCTATATCCTACAGCAGTACTCCCTCAGTGAGTCCCAACAGCTCCTATAATAAACAATGCAAAGCAACAGTATAGAAATTAGGGAGTGGGAGATATTTTCCCTTTTCCACATAGCTGTACCCTCCAATGTCAAACTGCCATGCTACATTTAGTTTCCACGTATCTCCATGCTGACACCGACCAGTCCTGCACTTGAATTGCAAGTCTACAAAAAAGGAAAGAGGTAATATACAATCCTATTGCACCACTGAGGGGGCTCCCACTCAGATTCAGAAACTACTTTACAATGGCTTGAGTGCATGTTTGTCTGCTGGTTTAACTAGGACTTTACAATCATTTCCATTGCTCTTAAGACAAATAAAATATTAACCATATTGCCAGAGCTGAAAATTTGTTCTCTAAAAGACTAAATAGACTAAGGCTATGGCTACACTGGCGCTTTACAGCGCTGCAACTTGCTGCGCTCATGGGTGTGAAAAAACACCCCCCTGAGTGCAGCAAGTTACAGCACTGTAAAGCGCCAGTGTAAACAGTGCCCCAGCACTGGGAGCCGCGCTCCCAGCGCTGTAAGCTAATCCCCTCGTGGAGGTGGAGTACCTGCAGTGCTGGGAGAGCTCTCTCCCAGCACTGTCGTGCAACCACACTCGCACTTCAAAGCGCTGCCGTGGGAGCACTCCCGCGGCAGCGCTTTGGAGTTTTGAGTGTAGCCACGGCCTAAAACTAGCTTAGATTCTTGTTACTTCCTTTTGTGCTTCCAGATTTGTTATGTATGTTGGCTTCCGTCCATTGAAGTCAACAGGATTTAAGAATATGGTAAAGTGTATTTCTGGATCAGGGCCATATTCCCCCAGTTGACTGGGTGCTATATATTATTAATTATATATGTTGCTACCCATGACTAAGAACTTCAATGTTATAATTACAAACCTTGGTTCTCATGATCTAAGGATGGATAGTGAGTGTATCTTACTATGGATGGAAGAGGGAAATGCTATAGATGTTTGGATGGATGAGTTTTGAGAGGAGGAACTTCTCTGATAGCACTTTTTCCTTGTCTAATTATTATTTCACACACTTGTTTATAAGGAACCTAGACATGACTCACTCACTTTTTGTATTGGGTTATTTTGGCTACTTGCATTAAAAAATAAAAGTAAAAGCTTCTTGCAATCAGTAAGACTACATTCCAGTAACTACAAACCATTATTATCCCAGCTATCCAGTCACTGCTAGGATACCACCACTGACTATGGGCATAGAGCCTTGGCCTTTTCAGTTAGGGTGTACTATTGGTTTGGGAAGGAAGAGTAATCACAGATACTCAGGAGAAATGTTCAGAAGGAACATGGAAGAGGGACAGCAGTGGGTACGCTGCCAGAGTAAGTGCCCCTTTCTGCAATATAGATAGAGGGTCAGGAAGGATAAAGAGAGCTGCACTTTCAGGGTTTAAAGTAAACTTTGAAATCATGGTAGGTGGAAGTGAGAAGTGATGCACTGACAGTGACATTTAATTCATAGTCACCTGACAACAGTTATGTAGTTAATAAATCAAAATATGTATCTGTGAAAAATGATACATTCTCAGATTATAAGACAAGACTTCCTTCCAGAGTTATATGGGCACAGGAATGTGAAGAAAAAGATGTAGGAACCCTAATCACCCTCCCTGTACATAAGAACATAAAGATGGCCATACTGGCTCAGACTAATGGTCCACGTAGCCCAGGACCTGTCTTCTGACAGTGCAGAGGCTTCAGAGGAAATGAACAAAATAGGGCAATTACTGAGTGATCCATCCTGTCATTGAGTCCCAGCTCCTGTACACACTCACGGCTAGTTATCCAGGGGTGCAACAAGGTAAGGTTAGCTTCCATGCTACTAAGCTTCCACAGTAAGTAACAATGCTGTATATAGACACAAACCATATTTAAAATTAATCATGCTATTACCTGGTTACAAGCTTAAAAGACATAGTGCAGATGAACCCAAAAGGCTGGATGCAAAAAGATAACTGGGTATATAAAGAGATGAGAGACTATGGTGTGACCGAGACATCAAACTAGTAAATTATAAGTTTGGCACGTGGTAAGGAAGCCGCTGCTGCCCCCAAAAACAACAATAGGGAAACCTCAATGTCTGAGAAGTGAAACCTGGTCATAAGTGGCTCAGATATGCACAGGGGGAAGAACTTTCATCCTTTGCAACTAGGAGACTCCTGTTAGGACCCAACTGAAAGTGCACTCTCCCATTGAATTCTATGGGCTTTGGATAAGGGTTTCTACTTACCTACCTCAAAAAAGAGAGATTCTGCTCTCATTTCACACAAAGTGGCAAAGCCTCCAAAAATAGCTTTTCTTCAGTTGCCAAAAATAAATGGTAGAAAGTGACGACAAAATGTCCATTCTTTCAAGAGAAGGAAGCAGTTTTTGAACATAGTGTCTTGTTGCTGGAATAGTTATGTATTGTATGATAATCGTGTTAAGAAAAATATTTCTAGCTACTGCACTGGTTATTCATTGTGTGAATTTCTCATCCTAGATTTTAAATAGATACAAGTAACTTGTCACCTCAAAAAAGTTAATTGAATTTAAGTGGACTGACAAAAGCCTGGTAAGTGCAAGTTGGCAACATATAAGCTTTCCACACAGCTCTGCCAATGGACCTCAGTCTTGACCTGCAACATCCCCTACTATTCAAGTCCTGTGACACCACAGAGCACTGCCAATTCACCTCACTATTGATATATAGCATCTGTAATCTTACGCACAGGTGCATTGTCAAGATACAACACCAGATTCTAATCTCCCTTACAGAAGTGCAGATCAGGAGTTACACCATTTATGTCAATGAGTTATACGACTAATACTCATTTAAGGGAGCCAGACCTTAATACCACGTCTCACATTCGAGATTGCTGGGAGCCAAGATTATTTTGTGAAAGAACAGATCCCAACATACTATATGGAGATTGTAATACAGTATGGAGAATGAAATAATGAGAAATACTGTGTTCCGTTTAGCCCAAGCTTGCAACAGAATCTACATCACCATTATTCAGTGCACCAATCACAGAGACAACTGCAGACCCATGTGTCAAAAACATTGTTACAGGCATCTACCAAGAAACAGGTCTATCCCTGTCTCTCCTTTTTTTGTGGTTACTTCAGGGGACTCACGCCTACCTCTCATCTGGCTGAAGGTGGTGATGAATTTGCTGGTCACAGACTTGAGTTCATTATTGGCCAGAGTTATGAGATGTATCCCTTCAGTGACATTCCTCATGACTTTGTAAATGCCAATAGGGAACATCATCAACTTGCAGTCAGCCAAATCTGTAGTGAAACAAAGAAAAAAGGACACAAACATGCAGAGCAGGATAGTGTGCACAGAATGCTTCAAGTTACTACCATGTTCATACATTTTATTCTATCCATAAGAATTAGAGAACCTCATAAGAAGAGACAGACAAATTGTCAAGCTCCTAATGTTACTGGTGCAGTATCAGTATGCATTTAACAGGTGACATTCCTTACTGAGAGGAGCTCAAGACTGTGCGAGAGGATTATTACAGCCTAAAGTTTACCTAGAGATATGAGCGTATATTAGTTTTTGCTTTGTGGATGCAATTTCTCCACCCCATCGACTTTTTCACAGCAAGGAGAATGACATTTCATCTGAGGGCCTTTTCCTCACCCAAAACCCTAGCTTGTGCTCCTGCTGCAATGACTCCCATGGAATATTACAGTGATCTAAAATTGCTGGGATGCAAGAACCCCCAACCATTCCCCCTCCTACCCATGAAATGCCCCTCAATTCCTGAATAGAGCCTCGGCCTCCAAGGGTTGGCACAGAGCTAGCCTTCTGGCTCCTGTAGATAGATGGCTTCTTGCACCAAGGCATTACACCGGGGGCATATGCGGCTGCTTTGTGGCTCCATGGCACCAGCACAAAGGCACTCCAGGAGAGCCATGACGTAGGCCAGAGTGGTGAGATGGATCAGGTACATGGGAGTTTCATACAGCACACACACAAGCTGTACAATCAGCTTCTAGTACAAAGTACTTGTGGCTGGTCTGAAAGCTCTGCAGCTTACAATGCGCCTTTTAACAACTTACATGTGGTCAGGCAGATAGGAGCAAGGGGAGTGGCGGCTGCTGAGAGATAGGAGCCCAGTCCCCTTATATGAAGGGGCAAGATTCACTCCTGCTGGCACAGGGAGGTGCCAGCAAGGATGGCTGCACCACAGGAGGAGAGGGCATTCACCCCTGGGCAGGGCAGGTTATTTTTTTACCCAGGATGTCTATAGGAACCCTGCTTGTAGAGGCTGCAATGGGTATGTAATGAATTAGAGACTCCTCAGCCATCCTGCCCAGACTTCTCCCTGACCAACACCACACACTTTTGGGCTTACACTGGCTGCCTGCAGGAGGAGGCAGTGTTGCTGCTCCCATGGTACAGCTGTAGCCTCCCACTAGTACCCCCCATTTAAACTGGCAGAAGCGTAAACTAGAAGCGATGATTTATATTTCTGCTGTTAAAACTGATCTGGCTAGCCACTGGTCTTTGCTGTCAGTCAGTTTGTTGTTTTGGACTGCTCCTCACAGACAGTGGAAAATGCCCCTCCTGCTACTCTTAGCAAGGATCAATAATTTCTCCTTGGCCTTTTGGTGAAGGTTAAGTATAGCATCTGTTGCTCTTCTATCTCTCTGGGGGAAATGAGGAAAAAGATGGATTACACCTCCCTAATGTATTGTGGTGAGGGCCCTAGAACACCTATAAAAATAAATCAAGTATTTCAGAATTTCCTTGAGCAAAAAGCACATCATGTGATTTTGCCTCCTTAGAAGTGATTAGAGGGCCTTAGTGTAACTGAGAGTTGGTTTCCTTTTTAGGGGAGTAGGGGGAAATTGTTTTGTGATGCTAACAAACTGCCCAGAAGGCAAGCAATCAACATCTGCCTCTCCAGTATGTTGCTGTTCATTGAATTTCTCTCCCTAGCTCCCTCAAGCCCCTACTCGCATCTATCTCCACTGTATTAATTTGCATTACAGACATACACAGTACTCAGTCTACTATCGTACACAGGCATGTTTAGCAGAACAAAGCATAGTATGCAAGAAGCACAGCTGGTTTTGATGAACTTGAATTCTTATAATCACTTTGAGGTTAATCCCAAGTGAAAAACAATCTGCCTCAGTTTACAGTGTAAACACGCAGTGATTAATGACCTGATTAAAGTCCACATTCATCACATACTCCATGTTGTATCTACAATCATAATCCCACACTTCTAATTCGTATTGATTTTTAAATATGTAAATAAACACTTATCCATCTTCTTTTCTTTGTCTCTATCCCTCCCACTTTACCAATGCTAAGGAAAGCATATAAGTGTCAGAAAATGGGAAATCCTTTGTTCTAGAAGTTCCCCTCTTCCCCAAAATGATGGGCCTTTAATCGTGCCAGAAGGCTTTACATAAGCCAGATTCAAAGGGCATAATGCCACAGGTCCATTCCCCATATAGATTCAGAATCACCTTTGCTGACTTTAGTGACAACACTGTATGGCTTTTCCTGCGGAGCCATCACAGATAGGAAACCATGAGCTCATGCTTCATGGACATAATTGAGAACCAGATTCCAACTGCAAAGCTACCTGTGGAGCTCAACTGCATTCCAGTTGCCTTACATGGGATAAGTAAAGATGTAAGAGGCTTGCACAGGTGAAACTGAACACAGGTTTTCACCTGCAGAGTCTTCATCACTGATGATACATGAGCTAGAGTTGGGGTTTTCACAACAAATTTTTTGGTGGCCTCAGAGTGCGGCCACCAACTTTTGCTGGTGGCCACTAAGACAGTGTTTCCTAAAATACTTAACTAACTTTAGAAAAACAAATACCGGTAAATATGCACATATACATGTCCAAATAATAGTAATTTATTTATGTAGAGGTTATAAAGGAATTCAAGAGAGCTGGCTGTTTCTCAGAAGGGACAATATTAAAAGCACAATTTCAAACTACCCTGAAGCAAAGGAAAGATAGGAAGAACAGTAAGGCCTGGTCTACACTACGACTTTAATTCGGATTTAGCTGCGTTAATCCGAATTAACCCTTCACCCGTCCACACTACAGAGCCAGTTAATTCGAATTAAAGGGCATTTAAAATCGATTTCTGTACTCCACCTCGACGAGCGGAGTAGCGCCAAAATCGATTTTGTTAATTCGAATTAGGGTTAGTGTGGCCGCACACCACCGAATTAATGTGGTTAAATTAATGGGGTAGTGTGGCCGCACACCACCGAATTAATGTGGTTAAAAACCGAATTAATGTGCTTAGTGTGGCTGCGCACAATCGAATTTATACAACCTGTTTCCCAAATTCGAATTATCTAAATTCGGATTAATCCCGTAGTGTAGACATACCCTAAGAGGCTAATATGGCTCCATCAGGAGTTCTTTAATGACCTGAAAATAAAAAAGGAATCCTACCAAAAGTGGAACATGGACAAATTGCTAAGAAGGAGTACAAAAGAATAACACAAGCAGGTAGGGACAAAATCAGAACGGCAAAGGCACAAAATGAGTTACACTTTGCAAGGGATATAAAAAGACAACAAGAAGTTCTTTAAATACATTAGGAGCAAGGCCTGGTCTACACTACGACTTTAATTCGGATTTAGCAGCGTTAATTCGAATTAACCCTTCACCCGTCCACACAATGGAGCCATTTAGTTCGAAATAAAGGGCGCTTAAAATCGATTTCTGTACTCCACCCCGACGAGCGGAGTAGCGCCAAAATCGATTTTGTCAATTCGAATTAGGGGTAGTGTGGCCGCAATTCGATGGTATTGGCCTCCGGGAGCTATCCCACAGTGCACCACTGACCGCTCTGGACAGCAATCGGACCTCGGATGCACTGGCCAGGTAAACAGGAAAAGCCCCGCGAACATTTGAATTGCATTTCCTGTTTGCCCAGCGTGGAGAGCACAGGTGACCACAGATAGCTCATCAGCACAGGTAACAATGCAGGCTGATAATCGAAAAAGAGCACCAGCATGGACCGTTCGGGAGGTACTGGATCTGATCGCTGTATGGGGAGAGGATTCAGTGCTAGCAGAACTTCGTTCAAAGAGACGAAATGCCAAAACTTTTGAAAAAATCTCCAAGGGCATGATGGAGAGAGGCCACAATAGGGACTCAGATCAGTGCCGCGTGAAAGTCAAGGAGCTCAGACAAGCCTATCAAAAAACAAAGGAGGCAAACGGTCGCTCCGGGTCAGAGCCGCGGACATGTCGCTTCTACGCCGAGCTAAATGCAATTCTAGGGGGGGCCGCCACGACTACCCCACCTGTGGTCGTGGAATCTGAGGCGGGGGTAATCTCAGCTACACCTGAGGATTCTGCGGAGGAGGAGGAGGAAGAGCTTGCGGAGAGCACCCAGCACTCCGTTCTCCCCCACAGCCAGGAGCTTTTTCTCAGCCTGACTGAAGCACCCTCCCAACCCTCCCAAGCCAGTATCCAAGACAACGACCCCATGGAAGGGACCTCAGGTGAGTTTACCTTTTAAAATATAAAACTTGTTTTAAAAGCAAGGTATTTTAATGATTATTTTGCCCTGAGGACTTGGGATGCATTCGCAGCCAGTACAGCTACTGGAAAAGTCTGTTAACGTGTCTGGGGATGGAGCGGAAATCCTCCAGGGACATCTCCATGAAGCTCTCCTGGAGGTACTCCAAAAGCCTTGCCACAAGGTTTCTGGGCAGTGCAGCCTTATTCCGTCCTCCATGGTAGGACACTTGACCGCGCCATGCTTGCAGCAAGTAATCTGGTATCATTGCCTGACAAAGCCTGGCAGCGTATGGTCCCGGTGTTTGCTGGCATTCAAGCAACATCCGTTCTTTATCTTGCTGTGTAATCCTCAGGAGAGTGATATCGCTCATGGTAACCTGGTTGAAATATGGGAATTTAATTAAGGGGACAGAGGTGGCCGTTCCTACTGGGCTGTTTGCCTGTGGCTGAAAAGAAATCCTTCCCTGCAGTTAGGCGACTGCGGGGGGGGTGGTGGGGTTTCTGCAGGGGTCTTCCCTGATACCTGCCACGCGGTCGGGGGAGGGGTACATTGATCATCCCAAGGAATTCATGGCGGGGGGGGGCGGGGGGGTTAGTTTGGTTTCTGCAGGGACCTTCCCTGATACCTGCCACGCGGTGGGGGGAGGGATACAGCGATCATCCCAGAGAATTGGATGGTGGGGGGGTTAGTTTGTTTTCTGCTGCTGAAGGTTAACAGGAAAACCGCAGCAGTCAACAGGCTTTGCTTTGGTATGTGGGA